TAATATACTAATAGCTAGAGAAAAACAGGTCCAGGTGGCTCCTCAGAGCTGTGTGGACTTGATCACCTTCTAAGTTGCTCAGTCACTCACTACATGAGCAGCAAGATACAACAGCCTTCTGTACTATGAGTTCAACATGATCTGCTGTGCTGTGCTACAAGCACATACATATCCACTTCTGACAGTTCTGCTTCAGAGGAGACAACTTCTGAGAAAGATGAAGAAAACAGCTTCGCCCTGTAACACCATGCAGTCAGAGTTCATTTGTTGTGCTCATTAACACTAACTTAGAGGAGAGCACCTTTTTTTTTTTTTTAAATAAGCCTGCCTGTCAAACATGAAACGCTGTCAAAACACAGTGAGTAGAATTCAGCACTTTCCAGATCCCCAAGTTCTGTTCCCTTGCCTAGCTGAGACCTGTTGTAAGTGAAATTAGTACTTTTATCTTAGATTTTGTGATTGCTTTCTCCAGGCTGCTGGTTATATATTTACTGAACTTTTTTACAAAGCTCTTGTAAAAGTTTTTACTTCCTAGCTTAAAATCAACTTTTAATTATGACAGTCTTAAACACATCTGTTTATGTTTTTATCAGTAGGAAATGTAGCTTAGTGGAGAGACTGTTCTGTGTCATCCATTCATACTGACTGCATCACATGGAAAAGTCATGAAAAAAAACAACTCAGCAAAACTCCACACATAAACTCACCCCAAATAAAACACTGTCTTTTAATATAAATTAATAGTTTCAAATAAGAAACAAACCTCCTGAGCAGGCAGCTCCAATGACCGCCTGCAGAAGCACTGGACTCCACTCCTGAGAGCTGAGATTGGACCAAGTTTCCCCATCACCAACTCAGCAACTGCTCTCTAGAGATAATCTTGCTTGGTGATGTCAGTTAGCACCTTCTTGGGCACATATTTCTGTTTCTCTAGTGCTTCCCCTCCTTTGGAAAATATATTCTCAGCTGTAGCATTATTATCTTTTTTTAATAGGTATCTCTGCCACCTGATTTATCTGCCTGCTTACTAGCAATATGGCAGAACTCTTAGTTACCATACAGCAGCATGAACAATCTTATTTTTAAAAAACCTTACATTTTTGTTCCATATTATTTTACAGAATTGGCACATTTAATTTTGAACGTGGGTTTTTTTTTGTTTTTTTTGTTTTTTTTTTTTGTCCTGGTGCTCTGGTGCAATTAACTCTGAATTACACACTGAAGGGAATATGGCAGAAGGCTGGGATAGAGTTTCCTGATAGTAAAAATATGAAAGACTGAGATAAAGATACCTCTGCTCTCAGTATTCTCTCCTGGAACCTACAAACTCAGCAGATGAGAGGCTATCTATGTAGATACCTTGTGATGCATTTTAACACTAAAACACTAAAAAGTAAAAGAGCTGTACTTCTAGGGCTTCCCTTGCCAGCAGTGATCCCTGGAAAACTCTGTAGGAATGAAAAGATAGATCAGGACAGTACCCCTTCCCCCTTCCCTTCCCCTTTCCTTTCCCCATTCTCTTCCCCCTTCCTCTCCCCTTTTCTTCCCCCTTCCCTTCCCCCTTCCCTTCCCTTCAACTAGAAATTGGAGACTGACTTGCACAAGTCAATATAACTAACCAAATCCTCTGAAATCTAACTATTTGGAGCTCTATTTTTGTGAAATACTTAAGAATCAGAAGTCTAGTGTAAAAAAAAAAAGACAGCTTCGTGCTACAATGTCTGAAAAAATGCTTTAACACACCTCTGCGGTTAGATCTTTAGTATCAGATTGGGGTAAGATAGACACACCTTTATTTTTGTGTTAAAGAAATATTTTAAAAAATCAAATAGGCTGTATTTATTAAAAAAAAAGAAAAAAGAAAAAAGAAAAAAGAAAAAAGAAAAAAGAAAAAAGAAAAAAGAAAAAAGAAAAAAGAAAAAAAACACCAAAAAATAACTGCTGTGTTCTTCTAAGGCAAAGATTAATTCTTAGCTGTGTAGAAACCCCATGGTCTTGCTCCAAAGAATGCAAACTGACATACATTTGAACATCATGTAGCAAGGAAGACATCTGTGTAAAGCTCCCATTCCCAATTATGAATGCTACACAGTTGTGAATTCAGCAGAAATCAGAAACCTCTGAAGAGGTTTTTCACTCTTTTGCCTAATTAAATGCATCCTGCAGTCAAGGAGTACTACCTTCTAGCTCCGCCTGTTTCTGTCAATGGGCTTACACCCTAATTTGTGAAAGGAAAATACAGCTTGGTTTGCCATCACTGAAAAGCTGTTAACTCTTGCACTAGGCAATTGCACTGCATTTGCTTTTCCAGAGGAATAGAGAAGGAAAGATTCTTAATGCACTCCAATGTGCTTTTTGTTTTTTTCTGAAAGTGACCCACAATCCTGCCTATTCATCTTGTTCTGCCTCCATTCCGGGCTGAGGATGGTGGTCTTATTACAGCAAAGCAAATGGAGCACTCTAATGGTGTCCTGTGTGCACTCTGGCAATTCCTCTTCCTCCCACATCTGTGACTGCATTGCCCACCTCCATCAGTGATGCTGAATGGGGCCAAAGAGCAACTAAAAACTTTCTGGGGCAGGGATTAAGGAACACTGCAGAGGCTTGCTAGTGAACACATAGAGCCACAGTGATAAAGCATTTGGGGATTTCAAATGCATTCGTTTGTCTTGGTGCCCTCTTTCCAAATGTTCATGTCAGTAGCGCTCCAGACAGACGCTGCATGCGTTCAGCTCTCTCTGGATATCAGTAGAAGCACTAGCCAGCTGGAAATTCAAATGGAGATGATAATGCTCATGGACTTGAAAAGAAACACAGAACACTTGACTGCATGGGCCTGCAGCACGCAACATGCTGCAACACAGCTCTTCTGTAGCTGCTGCCATCATGTATGTCCTTCACCTGTGCTGTCATATGCAGAAGTTTGCAGACCAACTCCTACAGATGTTCTTGTATTGATTAAAAATTGATGTGCATCAGCCTAGTTTGTAAAATACATCAATAAGTATAGAACAAAACACCAACCAAAAAAACCCCACCAACAAAAATGGGGAAAAATGTTTAATTAAATGATACTAAAAGTAACAAACGCATATCTGATTGTAGATGAGGATTCACACAAGGAAGTCAAACTACACAAGGTTCAAAATGGATTAGAAGCGTCCACATATGATCAGCAGCCATTTAATTAAATGAGCTCAGAACACTTCTTCAATTAAATAGGTGCAATGAGGCAAAACAGGCCTCACCACCATAGAAAAATATATCAAGTCAAAAGTAGCCAGTGTAGGAGCACAGCATGTACAGCCTAATACATTCTCTTTATCAGCTTCAGAGATTATTTTGAAGCATTAAAATGCTAGCATTTACATTAAGAAAACAAGCAAGGACAAAACAAGTTTCACCAACAGAATTCATGTCACAATTTATACAATCTGAGATTGCTATTTAGGCAACAAGATTACTAAATAGGCTAACCAGTCTAAACATGATTTTTTTTTTAAAAATAATATTTTCTGGATCTGTTGAAATTTAGAGGCTTTTTGTTGCATAAATGCCAACTGATTTGCATGTGAATTCCAGCCTTGCAATGGACACAGAAACGCGTCCTCAAGGATGCACTGACAAAGTAAGGTGCTTAGTTTACTGGCAGGAAATTCTTGGATATCCTAAATCTTGAATGATAGATTCATAGAATCATTTGAGTTGGAAGAGACCTTTAAAGGCCATCTAGCTCAACTCCCCTGCCTTGAGCAGGGACACCTATAGCTTATGACTTCTCTTTGGGAAATGTAACAAAAATTAGCTTTCTGAAAAGACACCATTAAAGTGTAAAGTGAAACATAATGCAATGCTTATAAATGGATGTCAAAGAGTTGGTAAGACAAAAGAAAAGCTTATTTAACGTCGACTTTTAAAGTGACATGACATCTGTGCTTGGTTCATAGGCAGTGGCATTCAGAAGCTGGTCTCCCATCTTAGGTAGAAGACTGCTCTTCCAACTTCAGAAGCTTTTGACAGACACATCACCACAGGTACCAACGTTCCTGTGAAATCCAAGTGTTATGTAAACAACTGAATACTTATTGTTGTGTTTGGAACTCCCAAATCAAACTTGACTGGTAATAACTGTGTGAAGTTACTGAAAGAAGATGACTATTCCTGGCCAATTTCTTGTTTTCATTTTTCAACTACATGATTATTTCCTAACAAAACAAAAAAAGAATTACCATTAATGGAGGGAGAAGCCAGTTGGCAAATATCATGGACCTCGATCTGTAAACACTCGCATACAGGCTTAGCTTTGGTGCTGTTCATCGTCTCATTGACTTCAAAGAGATTATTTGCATTATGAGCATTTTGTGCACCTGCACTTGCTGTACTGGACCCGTATGTGACATCACCACGTATTTTCACGGTGATAAACTAAAAACTCGTTGTATCATCTAGGTAACTCGTCAATTTAATCATAACGCAGGCAGCGCAGCCTGTGTGTCCACCAGGACCTCGCCAACACAGGAGATTCAGACTTTCACACAGTTTCACTCATCAGGTTCTGGACCCAGACCCCTCTCAGGCCATCCCGCATCTCCAGAAGAACCAGGACATGTTTTCCGCACTTGTCACCAGGCCGTGCTGCTCCCCTGGGGGTACGTCTGCGTGACCCCCCGGCGCCCCGGCCTGGAGAAGGGGCGAAGGCCCCCCAGCAGCGGTGCCGCCTCTGCCCTCACAAAATGGGCGCCGAGCGCGGCAGCGGCGCAGCCCCGCGTTCCCGCCCGCCGCAGGCCCGGCGGAGCGGCGCGGCAGCCCCGCGGCCTACGTGCCCCGCCGGCCCCGGGCGCCGGGCCGCGTCTCCCGCGGGAGGCGGAGGGAGCGCGGCGGAGCGGGCCGCGCTTCTCCTTCCCCCTTCTCCTCCTCCCGTCCCCGCAACCCCGCGTCGCTCCGCAGCGCCGGGCGGCGCGGCGCTCTCCCCGCCCCTCAGCGCCGCAGCGGGCCGAGCGGCGGCGGCGGCGGGGTCACGGCGGCGGCCGGGTCAGAGGGTAAAGGTTGCTCCCCCAGCATCCTCCGTGCTGGATACTCAGCCATCTTGGATCCGCGGGACAAGAAAATTCATGCGGTGAGTCCGGCCCCGGCCGCCCCCCCCCGCTCCCCGCCGCCGCCCCGCTCCCCGCCGCAGCCCTCCCGCGGCCCGATGAGGGGGGGCCCGGCGGCGGCGCGGCCCGCGGCGGGGCTCTGCGGGCCCGGGGCCGTCCCGCCGGGTTTCCGTTTGCTTTTGTCTC